ACTCTGATGTGTGTATGTGGGCAAGAGGAGATTAATGTGATGTGATAAATACCAAATATAAAATAGCAACCAAATACATAACATAACAAAACAAGTCACAAAGTATCTCTCATTCAACTGGCCTCAATGCCTGAAAGAAGAACCAGATCTTAGCTTTTTTACAGGCGAGTAAAGTTGGAACTTTTATATCGGGGTTGGGGGGGCAGATTGTTTCAGAGGGCAGGAGCAACCACAGAAAAGGCATGCTTCATAGATCCCATAAGATGACAAGATTTAAAAGAACCTGGCTGCATGCCCTGCCTATGGGATCATGTGGGATGTGCAGTCGTTCTTAGAAGGCAGTCCTTCAAGTAACCTATTCCTAGGCTTTCATCATCATCTTCATTTTACCCATTGTCTGTCCATTGCAGGATGAAGGCCTTTTTCACATGTTTTACTTCCGGGCTTTATACCGTGTTTCCCCGAAAATAAGACCCTGCCTTATATTTTTTTTTCAACCCTGAAATAAGCGCTTGGCCTTATTGCCATGTGCTCAGAAGCTCAATTGGGCTTATTTTGGGGGAAACAGGATATATCCCAGATCTGAGGGACACAAAATCTAGATTTTGGCAAGATTGAGCCACAACCTGTTCTTTCCCATCCAATTATTGGAAAGAACCTCAGTAACTTCACTTGGGCAGCTGAGGACAGAAATTATAACTTAGTATCATTCGCATATCGGTGGTACTACACCAAACCAACAGACGACTACCTCCAGTGACTTCATGTAGATATTGAAAGTTGGGGGTGGGAGTGGGCAGAGGACATGACTGTCAGTTGCAAGACACGGTGTTAGGAAAGCCTGATGTGGATATTTTTTTTAAAAAAATCCCTTCAGTTCCTCATATGATGAGTTTGCACGAAATTGCTGATCTCAACACTTCACCCCCAGCGCTTAGCTCTCTTAATATTGACTTCTGAATTAAATTATAGCAATCTTTTACATTGTGATTACAGTTCTACTTTGCCTGGTTTCTTTTAAGTAGCTTTTTAACAGAACAATGCAAAATATATCATAGAGCTTGTCTTGAAGTAAGGAAGCAGAGCATGCTGACAATAGGAACTGCTTAGACAGCAATATGCATATTTTAATCTACTGATGTAACAGTGTAATACCAGTTTATAAAAGGGGGAAAAAAGCAAATTATACTCTAAAAATGCTTACCTTTCCCTTTGCTTCACCTTCCAAATGGATAGCCAAATCATTGCCAACACATGATTATATATTTCTTCCTGGAGCAAAGTTAAAATAATTACTAGCGCTTTAAAGTATTGCATTATTAAAGGAGTTTTCAATTTTTCCTTCATTTATTGCCATTATTAGGACCAAATAATGTATGAAGAGCTGCGCCAATCATTGAACCGGTGATTCTTGAATGACACAGAAGACTCCTAATGCTTGCCATGCATTCTCCTGATCCTGTTTTCCAGAAAACCTTTTGGGATATAGGACATGATCTCAGTTTTGTATGCCTATAATTTCAGAATTGTTGAATTTCTTTTAAAGGATTAATATGTTAACATATAAGCTAGCTCTTCCTTTAGCAGCAGGGCTCTTTCAAAAGCCATCTCTGTGATAGAGCTCTCTGCCTGATATCAGGCGATCCAAGTCCTGAAAGACTATTTGAATGCCTAGGAATCTGTTGCCAAATAGCACAGTACACTTAGTAAGTGAATCAGTGATTTGCTATAAACTATGCAAGACCCCACTATCTATATTTCAAGTAAAAGAAAACACAAAGTAGTCAGGCATTATAACCTTCCCATGTAAGATCATACGCACTTGTATGTGGTGTTAGATGATATAATAAACCAAGCTCATCACAAGTATCTTATCATTTTAAGATTTTTTTTCCTTTGGTGTCACAGTGCAAGCATAAAATATTTTTATTTAAAGTCTCTTGTTGATTATTCACTTTCTAAAGAGGGTATCTAAGGGACTGGTTTGGACAAAACTCAGCAGTACTTTTTCATGCGGCTGCTGGTTAAAATAGGATCGCCAACATGATCACCAATGTGTGATGACAGATATGGCACAAGAAGAAGAGAGCGAGCATTGAATGTAGATCATGGAATAGTGTGGGTGACTGAAACATACTATCTTTTAAAGCTTGCCAAGGGCCACATATAAGTGACACAAAGTAAATCTTTGTACTTCAATTATCAACATGAGTTTTCTTTTATATATTGTGATGTAATGCAATGTAACTAAATTTAAATAATCCTAAAAAGGTCAATTTTAACATAAAACATAATAAAATGTAAGCCTTTTTAAATGCTAAACAGCTAGAAGTTGCTTTTGCCAACTATGGGTCACTTAATTTCCTAGAGCTCATGTTAGTTAAGAATTTTAATGAAATGTCGCACAGGGGTGTCAAACTGGTGGCCTGCGGGCCAGATGTGTCACGCGCAGGCCATGCCCACCCCGGTTCCGTAAAGGCAAAAAATGTCACGTGACGTGATTGAGTTTAACACCCATGATGTAGCACCTTGGAGTCTGGTGCTCTCTGAGCATCGTCACCTGCTTACAAATGTTACCCAGCTAGGTAAACATCTTTACTGCGAGAATGGAATGGGGTTTGCTCTGTTTATATAAAGATAGCACCACTGTTGAAACTAGGCAACAAAATATTTCCTCCTCAAAATAACGAATAGAATTCTGGTAAATCAAGGATCATTTGCAAAACTTCTACAGCATATTAACTTCACTTCAGATGCTGGTAGCAGTTATGAGACTATTTGCCCTCTCCAGGAGTATAGGCATCATGGATTCGATCGAATAAATAACGAACCCAAAACTGAGAAGAAAAAACATGTATTGCAAACAATGGAAAAGTAGTTCTTTTACAGAAGTTGGGAGCTACAAGGCAGGAAGGTCTGGCGATCTGATTTGCTGACCAGTGTACCAGGAGCTGTTTCTATTGTTAGGCAGAACCAGACTTTTCAGTTCATTGTTAAAGGAGATGGAATATTGGAACCATCAGCTGAGAGAGGATGGATCTTTAGGAAATTTTTAGGTTTCAGTTTCCTTGTTTAAGAGTGCCCTTGGGCTACACTATTTGCTGGTGAGGCAGCTTCTATTCTATGGTTTGGGTGGCTTGTAGAGGGACTGTCTGGAGGCGAGGAGGATCAGTTTGGGTTTGATAGGATTGGAGAAGGTGATGAACTGGGTTTGACCCTGATCATGTCCAAAAGACTTTGGGAAAAGAATGCAACCTTCAGTTTGTTAAGATATATTTTTCTCCTACACAAGTATTTATATTGGCTGACAAATTAGAAAATATATTTGATGTCACTTTACACCCTTAAGAATCTATCTCTGCCTACAGTTCAATCAATGCAACAATTATAAAAGTCAACTATAATTTAGCATTACTCCTCCCAATTACAGTTGCCTGAACCACAAGATGGGTGGCAAATTGAAAACTAAATATTTTAAAGCTACTAAATAAAATGCTTTATTTTTATGCTAATTTTTGTGCATTAAATGTATTTTGAGTTTATTGATAAAAAATTCAAAAGATGGACAGATGCAGTTATATGACTTCTGCAAACAAAAAATACATAATGTGATGTGGTCTGTGCTACTCATAACTTAAGAAAAGTTCTTGGGGTCATAGTGGATAACTTTGTGAAAATGTGAGCAAGACAAAGCAGCTGTGAAAAAGGAAATTCCATGCAAGACATCATTAGGAAATGGATTGAATATAGAAATATCAACATTGTACTGCCATTATACATACTGTATCTATGATGTGCCCACTTCTGCAAAACTCTGTCCAGTTATGGACCTTAAGATATAAGGGAAAGTGCAGAAGGGAGCCACCATAATGTCAGGGATCTTAAATATCTTCCCTGTAAGAAAAGATGGAATGTTTGCTGTACTTTAGAGAGGGGAAAAACCTGAACGTAACAAAGTTGATTGAGAACATGGCAAAGGTGAATAAAATAATTCATGACATAGAAAAGTGGACAAGAATCATTCTTACGACACTAGGATCATGGGTCATTTAATGAAGCTGATTGGAAAAAGATTAAAAAAGATAAAAAGCAGTTCTTCACACACTGTGTAACTTGTGGTAATTAATACGATGCAGAATGTTGGCCTATAACAGGCTTTGGCTTTATCCAGTATTGCTGTTCTTGGGAAACAACAGCTTTCCTAATCAATTTGTTATATTACATATGTCACCTTGTGAACCTCCATTTTGTGTTCAAAAATCAAAATGTAATCTACAACTTATCTTTCCTTTAAAATGTGATCAAACCAAAAGTGTTATGTTTTGCCTGTCACTAATATGTTTGCATGAGGTGGGGTGCACTATACACGCTCTGAATTGCATCTTAATAGGTTGATATGACTATGTTAAATACATAACTTTTGGCAGCACTTCTAGCCTATCTAGCCTCTTTCAATACTTTCTATTTCAAGGTTCGGTGTAATAGTAAAACATTTTTATGCCACTCCCTTCCCAAACATACTGAAGCACCATAAATAAGATTTTAGAAGCTATTAAAAAATTAGCTTCACCATATTTATTTTTACTACATTTTCCAGAAGATTGTGCATAGTTGTATTGATAAAATTTAGTATATACCATTCAAGTACTCAGAAAATTTTCTTACATGAGTTTAATTCCTATCCCTATTTCATATGATATATTTGCACACTTCATATTCTACACAGAGTAGCAACATACCAATATTTTCAAAATAGAAGTGTCCTACTCAATGACAGTGCTGCCAAATTAAATTCTACTACCTGCAAGTTCACCTTACCCTTGTACACCAAAATGTTCTGAAGGTTCTGGATATCCTCCAGATAAGATCAGAAGACATGCTCTGTCTGGGGCTTCAAGTAGAAGAAGAGAAGAAAAACTCTTTTTTTCATAAACGCAAAATATGCTATCATATCGTTGAATTTATTCCACAGAATAAAAAACTGTTTTCCAAAGACAAGCTTCTGATAGATGTATGCTAATTTTAATTAAATGTAATAGAATTGTTTCCAAATAGCTAACACGTTCATTTTGAGTCAGAGAGTACTGATATTTTAAGGAGCTTATACTTTTTAAATAATCATAATGCAATACTGTCTATCTGCTATATTAGCATTACATATGCTAATCCATAACATACATGTATTTGGAAGAGACTGAAGCCAGACATTTTAATATACCATGTAAATCAAAATTAATATTAACTAGAAGTTTATTTAATAATTACACTTAGTTAGTAAAATAAGAAATATGTAGGAGTTGTAGTCAGCAGATACTTGAAACAAATTGTATAAATTTAAACAACTAAGTTTAAAGAATCAAGTTACTGTATTAATAACATGCACAGAACTATGTCAGAAAAAAATGGAAAAAAAGGAACATTCTAATTCTATCAATGTTTTTAATTTTTCAGAGACCTTTTTAAAAATGTAACAATATATCCATATTTTAGCCTTGGTCAAGATTACAAGCCATCAAGTTATTTATCAAGTGACATCTTGTTCCAGCCACCACGAAGACACGCCTTTGGAGTTTGTGAAGAAATTTTTTGTCAGAAGGTTACTCTTGTTTCTCATCACCTTTTACAGGTCTTTTCACACGTGAATATGGGCTCACAGTATCATCCATCACAAAATCATAAAGCACTTTAATCCAAGAGTTATATTGTGGTAAGTGGTCATAGTATTCAGGAGCCATTTTCTTTAGCTAAAATTGAAAAGATACGTATATATGTATTAATCCAGTATTCCATCTTTAATTTTAAAAAATGCAAAAAACTCATTTTCAAAGCCTCATAAGCATGATGCTGAATACACATCAACAGACAACTGTGTATTCCAATCCCAAACTGAATCAACTAACCAGTAAGAAACACTTTCAAGTGTGTCCCATCTGGGAACAAATTAAGAAATTCTCTTATCACTTGAGTACTAAATATAACTACTGTAGTTTAAGACACCTTTACATTTCCCATAAAAATGATTATCTGTTCTTAAAAAACCTTTATCAGCACTAGAAACAAATGTCTCTTAATTGACTCAGAATTTTTAGCAAAAAATATTACATTAAAAGAGAAGTTGTACCTAATATATATACTTCAGTTATAAATATTAAGAGTTTTCTTGGTGTTATTAAAATCATTTCTAGCAATTTTGGAGTACCAAAGTCTAGCACTTGAATACCAATCACCTTCTATTTCTGAGGTATAGATATCTTTGCTATTACCAGTATAAACTTAAAAGACATAATTCAGGTATTGCTAGAACTGGTGGTATACAGATTATTTATCTTCCTAAAAACTGGTTTCCACCAATGAACCATAATGTTCCAATTCGGTTACATCCCTTCCAATAGAATTGCTTGTTTAAGATAGACAGCTATAGAAATTGAATGTGTAAAAATTCCTTAAACACTATCCTTACATTTCTTGCTAAAAGAATTGGCAAGTATAATACTGTCAATGGATTAATTTCAAATAATTTTCACTAATTCTTCCAAAAGAAGTATCTTGGCAGTTTATTCCACCATAAAATATTCCATGTCCTAATATCTTATGTAATGAAATGCTCATTCTCACATCTGTTTATTCAGTTTGGATTTATTTGCTTGACTTGTATGGCTGCCCAACCCATGACAACTCTGGATAGTCCTAGTATCTAGGCAAGATATCCTTATTTATGCCCTATAAATTTTGACACTGCTCGATCACCATGTTCTTCTATCGCATGAATTGTTCTTTCAAAATCAGCAAGGCAAACTGTATAAACTTATTTCCTCTAGCTCCTCAATCAAACTGCTAATAAAACTGTTAAGGCCGTCAACAGGAGAAAAAAATGCTCTCAAATAAAACCATAAATCTAGCAAAAACTAAAAACAGCAAAGGGTATCTTTTTTGAGGGGGGTGGACAACCCTAAGGGGTATTAGTTTAAAACAGAAACATAATCTAACAGGTATAGCAACTATGTTCTTGAGAAATTATTAGACTACTTTATATTACTTTTCAAGCTTTGTTATTATATAATGGTATCATTTCTCTTGCTATCAAGCTGCCAAGAAATCCCCATTTTCTCTAAGGAAGGTGACATATCCAAGTGGCAGCTAGATTTTATACTTTTGAGGCAAGGAAATCAATCTTTTTGATTTGTACACTTCCTCTTTATCATTCTTTCATAAAACCATGATCAATGTAAATACCGGTGTTTCAATATCAAACTATTTCATCACTCTTTTCTCTTCACCCCTTTTCTCTTCAAACTTTTCTGGAGGGCCAGCACAGCCTATGTTTGCTTCTTACCCCAATGATATGTTTGTTGTAAATCTAACAGGTCTTAAATCTGAAACAAGTCTCCTGAAGCCACAGAAGAAGCAAGCACTGTATGTGTACAGAAATGGTGTAATAGACTAAACTTGATGATTGACTTGACACAAGACAACTTATTAACACTATGGTGGAAGTTATGTTAAATTTGAAATATTAGCTAACTTTATAGAACATTTTTTGTGCAAACTTGAACTGCAGGCTACATGTACCATATTTTCTGGCGTATAAGACGACTGGGCATATAAGACGACCCCCAACTTTTCTTGTTAAAATATAGGGTTTGGCCTATACTCGCCGTATAAGACTACCCCTCTTCCAACGCACACCAAATAAAAATAAAAAAATCTCAACTGGCTCACCCACAATGTAAAAGCAGCTGTGCTTAGACCCAAAATGGCCCCTGCAACAAGCAGGAACCTCACACAGCCACAAAAAGCCCAAAAACCCAACTTTCACACTTTACACACACAAAATTCCACATACAGCTTTGTGAGATTTTGTGTGTGTGTGTAGTTAGAGTGAAACACTACAGAAATACACTAAATCTCAGAAAGCTGCACAAATATTATTTTATTTTATTTTTATTTTTATATGAAAACTAAATTTAAAACTTCCTAAACTTTAAATGGCTAGGTCTAAAAAAGAACAACTAAAAAAAAACCCAATTAACTATTTTTTTTAAACCTCCCAAAGGGGAAAAAAACTTAACCAATAGAACAGGGGTCTCCAACCTTGGCAACTTTAAGACTTGTAGACTTCAACTCCCAGAATTTCTCAGCCAGCTTTGTTTTGCTGGCTGAGGAATTCTCGGAGTTGAAAACCACAACTCCCTGCCTGCTTGATTGCAGGCAGGGAGTTGCTTGCTGATGGAATGGATTCAGGCAAGTGAAGCAAGGCAAGCGTTGCGACTAGCAGCTGAGGTAAGCAAACTGGAGGGGGAAAACTTTTTTCCTTTTACATGGCTCTGGCGATCCAAGCTGAATTGCCTGTTTAGCAGGCAACTCAGCTGGGATCGTCAGAGCTTGGATCGCCAGAGCCATTTAAGGCTCGTCAGAGCCTTTCGGGCTGGTCTGCCTGGTTACAAGAGAACGACACCCGGCGTATAAGACGACCCCCGACTTTTGAGAAGATTTTCATGTGTTAAAAAATCGTCTTATACGCCGGAAAATACGGTATATATTTTCAGTTAAGGCCTGCTTGGAAGCATCTGCCCTGAAGTAATTATAAATCCCTTTCTTACATCAATGATTGTGAAGTGTCTACTTTGCCAAAAATACCTGAACTTCATCAAATGGTGATATGTGATATCATTATCCCTTATCCTCTGTTAAAGAATCTTAGCTAAATATATGCTACTGCTCTGAATAAGCATTATATAATAAGGTGATAAAATGCTGTACAATCAGGCCAGAAATGTATAAACAAGGGAGATCAGAGCAGCAAAAAGAAGCTACCCTGAAAAGCTAAAGAATCAATTCTCAACAAATGAACCAGCAAATATATGGAAAACTCTTAAAAATATCACTGGCTACGGCAAACCTCCTTCCCAAGCTGAAGGAAATCAATAACTGGCAGATGACCTGAACGTGTTTTACTGCAGGTTTGAAAGGAAACTATAGCCACCTATCTCCACAACCTCCATGTCAGACACACCAACAACAGCCAAGCCTCCTACAACTGACTCCCTAGGGGTTCACAACCCCTAGTGATCACAGAAAAGGAAGTGCAAGACCGATTTCATAGACAAAAGCCAGGAAAAGCTCCAGGCCCAGACAAGATAACTCCTTGCTTAAAAGTCTGTGCTGACCAATTGGCCTCCATCTTCACCCAAATCTTCAATAAATCGCTAGAGATGTGCTATGTTCTTTCTTGCTTCAAATGCTCTACTATCATCCCAGTGCCGAAGAAGCCCACCATCAAGCAACTGAACAACTACAGACCAGTTGCTCTAACATCTGTAGTCATGGAAACCTTTGAAAGGCTAGTGCTGTCCCACTTGAAAACCATCATAGATCCGCTGTTAGACCCCTTGCAATTTGCATACCGAGCAAATAGATCAACAGATGATGCTATTAATACAGCTCTGCATTACATTCTATAACATCTTGAATCTCCAAAGACCTACACAAGGGTCCTCTTTGTAGACTTCAGTTCAGCATTCAATGCCATCATTCCAGATATTCTTCTAACTAAGCTAAACTACCTGAACACACTTGTAAGTGGATCATAAGCTTCCTAACCAACAGGAAGCAGCAGGTGAAGCTAAGCAGAATCACATCAGATACCTGTACAATTAGCACAGGAGCCCTCCAAGGCTATGTGCTCTTCTCACTTCTCTCTATATACCAATGACTGCATCTCTAACGATCCATCTATTAAACTACTGAAGTTCGCAGATGACATAACAGTGATTGGTCTCATTCGAGATGAAGAATCCGCATACAGATGGGAGGTTGAACAACTAGCCTCATGGTGCGACCGGAACAAGTCTCGTGATGCAACCGGAACTGAACACACACAAGACCATAGAAATGGTGGTAGACCTTAGGAGAAACCCTTCCATCTCTTACAATACTAGACAACACAGTATCATCAGTAAGAGACCTTCAAATTTCTAGGTTCTACCATATCGCAAGACCTAAAATGGACACCTAACATCAAAAACATCATCAAAAAAGCACAACAAAGAATGTTCTTTCTGCGCCAACTCAGAAAGCTCAAACTGCCCAAGGAGCTGCTGAGACAATTCTACAGAGGAATTATTGAGTCTGTCATGTGCACCTCTACAACTGCCTGGTTTGGTTCTGCAACCCAACAAGACAGACACAGACTTCAGAGGATAATTAGAACTGCAGAAAAAACAATTACTACCAACCTGCATTCCATTGAGGACCTGTATACTGCACGAGTCAAAAAGAGGGCTGTGAAAATATTTACAGACCCTTCGCATCCTGGACATAAACTGTTTCAACTCCTACCTTCAAAATGAAACTATAGAGCACTGCACATCAGAACAACTAGACACAAGAACAGTTTTTTCCCAAATGCCATCACTCTGCTAAACAAATAATTCCCTCAACCTGTCAAACTAGTTACTAAGTCTGCATTTCTATTAATCTTCTCATCGTTCCTATCACCCATCTCCTCTCACTTATGACTGTATGACTGTAACTTGTTACTAGTATCCTTACGATTTATATTGACTGTTTCCTAATATGATTTGATTGCTTATTTGTACCCTATGGCTATCATTAAGTGTTGTACCTTATGATTCTTAATGAACGTATCTTTTCTTTTATGTACACTGAGAGCATATACACCAAGACAAATTCCTTGTGTGTCCAATCACACTTGGCCAATAAGAAATTCTATTCTTCTATTCTATTCTATATTTGAAACAGTGACTGTGTTTAGTTCATTAAACATTTACTTTTATAATTCCTTTCTAAACACTTAGTAGTTGTAATGGTAGGTTAGTATGTAAGTAATTGTAATGAAAATACAGACATCCTATATGAATTTCAAAGTATTATGACTATGCTACATATTGAATTGCAGCAGGAATCTAATTGGCTATAAAATAGCATATTCATGAAATCGGCTTTTAAACATTTAGCTGCAAAAACAAAATAAATGTACTAATATTTACTTACCAGTGGAAGACTTATTCCAGGAATATTAGGAAAATCATGATGTTCATTGTGATAGCCAACATTGAAGGTAAGTTTATTCAGTGGTCCATAGTATGAGTATGTTTCATATCCCTTTAAAAACATATAATGTTCGGCTATGAAATGTCCTGAAATAGGATGCAAGCCCAGCCCCAATATTACTCCTGCCAGAAGATAGAACAATGATTTTATTCCTAGGAAATAGTATACAAGAACATCAAAGACAAATTGAATTGATAAATTAATGATTTCTAATCGAGATATTGGTTTGGGATTAATACAGAGGGGTCGAACAGCATAAAAAAGTGGCTGTAGAATAATCCACATGAGTTTTCGAAAACGAGTACAGAAAAACCATCCTTCAAAATTGGCAGGTATATCCACATCAATTCCATCTGCACCAAGATAACGATGATGATCCATGTGGTATCTCTTGAATGATATGGAGTAAGGTACACCAAGTGGGAGATTGGCAAATATTCCAAACCATCGATTCCAGGAAGATCTAGAATTGCCGAAGGCACTATTGTGAGCAATCTCATGAATTGCCAAAGTCATGGAATGGTTGAGACAGCTGCCAAATATATATGCCCAAAATACAACCCATTTCCAGTCCAAATCTTTAACTAGATAAAGAGCAACAAGTTGTGCAAACACCATAAGTACAACCAACCAGATCACATTGTAGTCTGGTTTCATCAAGGTTTTTATCTCTGGATGTTTTCCTGTTGAAAAAAGAGAATAGATATCAACTGACTGTTTGAACAGAATTGAAATTTCAATAAAAACTAATTCAAAAGTTAGATGATTACATTAAAGAACGGTTGAGTTAGTACAAATTTACATACTACAGGTAGCCCTCAAGCTTCAACTATTCATTCAACAACTTTGAATTTACAGTAGCACTTAATCAATGGCACTTACACCCGGTTCCCAAAGTTATGGCCATTGTAGTACCTTTGTGATCATGTGATCAAAGTTTGGATACTTGGCAACCCGCCCACATTTATGACTGCAGGGGTACTTCAACTCTCCCCACCTAAGTCCCTTCCATCTCAGTTCTTTTGGCCTCCTGCACTCCACTATCTACGGCCTTTTTTCTTACCTTTGCAGGCTAATACAAGACTTTCCTCCCAACATCATATGCAGCAATTTCTTTGCAAGACCTGGGGAAGCCAGCAAAGGGCTACATTGGGCACACCCCATCAGAAGTGGGAGGGAGAAGATGGCAAAGATCAGCTAAGGCAGGGGTCAGCAACCTGCGGTTCCGGAGCCCTAATGACTGGCTGAGTAGGCGTGGCTAGGGGGTTATGTGACTGGCTGAGTAGGCGTGGCTAGGGTGGAAGTGAGTGACATCAAGTTGGCCACGCCCACCCAGGTTTTGTGACTCGGTGTTTTCTTTTCTGTGGGAAACAGGTCCTAATGGCTCTTTGAGCATTTAAGGTTGTAGACCCCTGAGCTAAGGAGATGGAATGCAGGGCAGAAGAGGTGGGCTGAGCTAGGGTTTCCTGAAGCGGTTGTGACCTCACGCCATGCTGAGAATGGCTGTGGCTGTGGTTCACACCAATGTTGGACTAGGGCAGCTACAGTCTAACGATGTAGTGTTGGAGTGCGCCAAGGTGGCTTGGTTTCCCAGGATGCTTGTGACTTCTGCTCTGTGGCTCAAGGGTTTCTTGCAGCCCCTTTGCCTTGTGAGTGTTGATGGGCGTGGTCTTGGAGGTGCTTTGGTTGGGTTGTTTACTATTAGCTTGTTTGGTAGTTCCTTGATTGGGGTTATTGTTCACTTCTTGGTTGTTGGTCTGATGTTAATCTTGGTGTTAATCTATTCTCATCTGGGTGTTGCTTGCTGGTGGGGTGGTATTTTTATCCCTCTGTTCCTTTTTTGGCTTGTAGTTTGTCTTTTACACAGTAAATAGATGTTAATGTCTACATGTTTATTGATGATCAGCTTGTCAAAGTGCCAGGCTTCCAGGTACTTTAACATTTTTGGACTTGGCTTGACCTATGATGGTCAGTTTCCCAGTTGAAACTACGGTTAAGTTGTCCATATGTTGTTAAATTAAAGAGTTTTCATCATATCTTCGGATTGCTAATTGGTGTTCATGTTTTGCTAGTCTTCTGGCTGTTTGTCCTACATAGTGGCTGTTGCAATCTTTACCTTGTATGCTGTAAATTCCTGTTTCTTTGTTTTCTAGGGCTGCTAGGTTTTTTGGTTTACCAAGTATGTTTTGGAAAGCTTTCTTGATGTGGTTTGTGTGTTATGCTGATTTCTAAATTTGATTATTGAAAAAAGTTTGAATAAGAGGATGAAGGAATTATTGTAATGTTAAGGAAAGGGGAGGAATAATAAGTTTGTAAAGAAGGATTGAAGTTGCTTCTTTCCCTTTTAACTTTGTTCTTTTTCTGCATTTTTATATACCTCTTTACGGTGTTTTACAGCTCTAAGTGATTTACAGAGTAAGCATATTGCTCCCAACAATCTGGGTCCCCATTTTACCAGCCTCGGAAGGATAGAATGCTGAATCAGTCTTGAACATGGTGAGATTCGAACTGCCAAATTGCAGGCAGGCAGCAGTAGTAGCCTGCAATACTGCATTCTAGTCATTGCGCCACTGCGGCTCTTATATTTCTGTATCTGTCTTTTACTAATGTAAACACGTAATAAAAATTAATAATTAAACTCCAAGACATAGGGAAGGCAAATTTAAACTGTTTAAATAGAACAGTTTATTTTTCAATACTTCATGGAATATTGTGAAACATTTAAAAAGTCCTGTCAGTCTGCATATTGGACATCATCAAATTGGATTCAATTCTTGATGGCAACCTGAATAAATATTTAACTCCAACTATTTTCAACCTACAAGTTATTTAAGAATGAATACAACATTCTCTTTAATATTATATATCCATCTTCCATTTCCCTCAGAAATTTGTGCGTTAAACACAAATTTTTATTTCCCTTACATTTTTGCATAAAGAATGATCAGCACATCAAGAAAGCAGGCATCCTTTACTTGGCTCACTGATCTCCTGGCTACTCATCAGTGTTCAGCTTTCACAACCAGACATAACGCTAGAAATCATTATATTTGTGTAGATGCAAATACCCGTATCTTATATTAAAATCACATTTCCAAATGACACATCTACACACACAGGGACTTTTTAAAAAGCAGTAGGTGGAGTTCCAGCATAGTGATTAAGGTGTTGCACTAGCCCGGGAATGCCCAAGGGCAAAATGAGTGCAATCTAGGAGAAGGCTGGGAAAAAAATATGAATGGATAATTAAGGAGTGTTGATTGGGATCAGAGACACCCAGGTTCCAGTTGACACTCAACCATGGAAGTTTTCTGAGTTTCACCCCCTTTAGGCTGACCTTCTTTCAGAAGATTGCTGTTGTGCAGAAAAAAATGGGAGAGGTGAACTGAATTCCTAAAAGATAGGCAGGGTATCAGCCTAATCAATCAGCAAATAAACGTGTTTGCATTATAAACTCTGATGGTAGGCAAAGCCCGAGCTGAACTTGAGTTCCAATCTTTTCTTTGGGGAGTTCATGGTAAAACCCACACAGCTGAGATGTCACGTGAAGTAAGTCCTACGTGACCGCCGGCCAAGAAGAAACTAGCATTTAACCGACTTGGATCAAGCGCACCAACGTGCCTAATGTCCCCATTTTATCCGTATCCATAAGCATGTTTATACTTATATCTGTTATCTCATACACGCTTGACAAATAAATAAAATTAAATAAATAAAATTAATTAAATAAATAAAGAAGGGGAGGGGGCAAAATCAACCCAGGGACAGTCGACGGGGCGTCGAGAAGAGCCAGCTACGCCTATTGTAGTACTAGATCTCCTTCGGAAGTGACTCACTGAGCCCACAGATGTTTTTGCTCGCCCTCCTGCCTCCCCGCCGTCGCTTCAGCCTCTCCCACCACGAAAGGCCTCACATAAGACGCCGCCGCCGCCGCCCCTCCTCGTCAGCCGGACGGGACGAGCTCCCTTCTCCACAGAAGGCATTGGCGCAGCGCGGCAGCGCCTGCCTCACAAGAGGCTTTAGGCGGCCCAAGCCCCGGAATCGGGTGAGGTGGGGAAAGCCCTCCCTCACCCCCTTCCTCCCGGACTCACTCAAAATCTCCTTGCGGCGGTCGGCGTGAGGCTGGTCGGTGTAGACCCACTCGAAGTCTTCTCTTGCCACAAAGTTTCCCATGCCGGAGGAAAAGCCGCCACCGGGTCGTGGCTTGCCGGAGGTTCTTTCTCCCGATCCTCACGAGCTACAAGCGGCGGCCCGCTACTCGGCTGACTCTTGCTCTCACATTGAAGGGAAGGCGGGCCTCAGCAGACAGCCGCCTCTTCGTCGCGGCCCCATTGGCTCCCGCGGGCGGGTGACGTCACGGAAACAGCGCCTCTTGAGAGAGGCCGGACGGCCCAAAATTCAAAGTGGTCCTTTTTTTTTTTTTTTCTTCCGCTCCCCCTCATTCAGGTTAGGCGTGTTTCATTTCTACGTTGCCGAATCTTGTGGTGAATAACGTTTACCCTACCATTCCTGTGACTTCTGCAGGCTGCGCCCACCGGGTGTCATCGCCTGCCTAGACCTAGGAAAGGATGCTGGGAGCCCGCTTCCATTGGAAAGTGAGGGCGGCGGAGGCGCGGAAGTGAGCTTGTTCAGACGCCCCCCCCCCGCCCCTCCGCTCGCTCGGAAAAGCTGCCTCGATTTCTTTTACAATTCAGGGAGGCAATGAAGACGCCGCTCTTTTCGCTCCCCGTGACCCGGCTGACGTTCAGGGCTATATTAATAACGTCTCTTTTTTTTTTTTTTCTTAAATGAGATGCTTTAAATGTATTGCATAACATTTGTCTTTGCAAGCTTTTCAATTAATCGCTTACGCGCGTAGGTGCATACATCTTGCCTCAGAAAATTCTCTCTGGGCGGTTTGCCACTCCTGATGATGATGCTGCGGATAAAAAAAAAAAAAAAGATTGCAGAGGTAGCGGGGAGCGTGAAAACGGAAAGCATGTCCGGGCCTGAGATAACTAGTTTTAAGAGAGAGATATTATTAGGGTTGGTTTTTTTTAATTGTTGGTTGAGAGCCGCCCAGAGTTCAATTCAAGATGTAAATGCTTTAAATGCTTCCACGCGCCTTCTAAAGTCTTAAGACAGAACTACTTTCGCTTCTGCTTCGGCGCGGCGAGCCTCTCGACGCCTTAACTCGCCCGCTGTAACTGACTGAAGGCGGGGAGACCGCCACCCGAGGCTCCCTTCGGGCCTTCTGACGGACACGCTCTCCCCACCCGCCTCCAATTAACCCCGGCGTTTTGGCAACGGGCTGGGCTGAGCGGCGCTTTAAAACCTTGCCCGCAACCAGCGCCGTCCCCTTCTAGGATGTTGATACTGACGCCCCCATTAATATCAACTGGAGTCTCCAAGAAGAGGCGCGCGGATGCCCAGATTGCGGATCCTAAATCAGGGATGGCTAACCTTTTTGCCATCGCATGCCAAAAGTGGGGGGGGGAAGCAGGGGGGACACACACGCACGTGTGCCCACATCCATAATTCTATGCGCCCCGACCCCCCTCATGCTCCCCCTGCTTTTGGCACGTGATGGCACGGTGGGCCCAGTAGGCCCATTTTTCGCTCTCCCCAAAATAGCTAAGCAGGTTCAGTATTGGATAGACTACTAGGAAACCCAAAGATGTAAAGCTCAACTCTGAAGCCAAAAAAATATTCTGGAAGAAGGCAACAGCAAGATATAGATGGACTGTATGAGTTTAAAGTTGGGCAGAGTACAAGTTTAATAAATAATGATGCATGCATATATTACACTTATTACAAGCTATATTATACTATCATGGCATAATCCTGCATAATATAATTGCATAATAGATAATACAAAGTGGCTCTCCAGTTTGGTCTAGTTAGTAGTTAAGGCACCAGGCTAGAAAGTGGGAGACCATGATTTCAAGTCCCACCTTAGCCATGAAAACCAGCTGAGCCAGTCCCTCACAGCCCAGGCCATTTCACAGGGTGGTGGTTGTGGGGAAAATAGGAAGTGTGCTGGATATGTTCACCAATAATTTGAGTTATTTCTTAAAAATAATAAAGGGATATAAATTAAAATATGGCTGTCACAGCCAAATTTTCAGACTGGATTATATTTATTTTTATCACTACTATTCCTTTAGTCCCCTGATGTCACTTGGTGTTGAGCTCTAATAACTTTTATATACACTGCTCAAAAAAATAAAGGGAACACAAGCAGAAGACAAGCAGATCCGAGATCTGAATGAATGAAGTAGCCTTATTAAATACTTTGTTCGTTACATACAGTAGTTTTGTGATCCCTTTAGTTGTTTGAGCAGTGTATAAACTACTGTCTGTAAAGAACAAAGTATTTAATAAGGCTATTTCATTCATTCAGATCTCGGATGTCTTCTGCTTGTGTTTCCTTTATTTTTTTTGAGTAGTTTACTATTTATAGCTAGTGCAAATGACCCTTTAGGCCACGGGTATCAAACTCGCTGTGTCACATTGCCGTCATGTGACATTTTTTTGCGGAGCTTGCGTGGGCGTGGCATCCACATAACACATCCGGGCCGCAGGCCACCAGTTTAATACCCCTGCTTTAGGCCATCCTCTGATTGGCCATGGAACTACTAATTTCTTATTGTTTTAATCAATGGAGAAAAAAATGCAGCTTTGTTTTTTTAGCCAATTATCCACCCAGGGGGAAAAAAGTTTTGGTTACAGTGATGCATTTCAAATTAAATCATGTTGAAAGTATTGTAAACATATGGGAACTGGATCATGGAACCGGATCATGGTCAATAAGAAAAGGCAAACTGAGAACAAAGCAGCAAATGATTAGGCAGCACTTGTGAAGGGAAGCAAAATCAGGTCACTCTTGATTTTTATCTTTGCACAACTGGTGTAGGAGTGAATGATTAAACATAAAGAGACAGGGATGGGGTTTTTGCTAATTCGGTCTCATGCTATTTTGAGACAACTGTTTCTGTGGTCAAGACTGTCAGAACAAAGCAATTTAACAGGTCAAAATACCTGCTCAGTTCTTACAGTGTATATTTGATAATGTTCTAAAATAGAAACTCGTTGGATTATAAAATCCTAAAGTTATTGATTCCCCATGACCCAATTTACAAGTGGAAACCACACAATCTGTTTGAAGCAAGTTTATTTGAACACACAGAGAACCCATCTACCCAGTGGAGGGTACAAACAAACTTTATATAGTCTTATAATAAATGTTGACCAGCAGTGATGTCATCTATGGTTAATTTAGGTTAGATTTTCTGTTTATAGTGAGATATGCAGCAATAAAGAGGAAGTTGGGAGTAGTCAGTTTTTGTGGTAAATTACTTCTTGATTTCCATTTAAAAGCACAAGTTCTGATTTAAAATAATCTGTGAGACAGCATTTGCAAATGTTTAAGCAAGTTATTAAGCAAGTTCACTGTGAGTTCAGGGGCGCTGGAGGTTTTGGTTCAAGAATTTGTTTTACTCCTTCAATATCAGGGATCCAAAAATGGAGAATAAATTTTCAATGTTTCATGTTACATAACCCTTCAATCCAGAAAAATACATTGCATGTAAATACCAAACTTATTTTTGTACTATTTTGTAAGGTTTCTGCAGGGAGGTAACTTTTGACTTTGACTTGACAGTCAAAATGGCAGCTGGACTCATGCTATTGAAGCCTTCCCCTCTCCCCCCTTTTTTCCCCACACAATGCATTAAAGAAACAGGCAGGCTGATAGCTTGATGATAGCCGAACAATATAAAATGATGAATATAAAATAATAGAATCCTTCAAACAGGGAAAGTACCTTTTAAAACCTAGAGAGAGCAAAAGTGATAACTTCTATAGGAAAGGAATCCCATTCAGAAGAAAAGGTCACAAATAATTTTTTCAACACCAAGTCAACTAGGAATTGGATCAAATTATATAGAAACAAGCTACCAAAAGTTAAAAAGTGATTAAATTACTCATGGGGCTTTCCTTCTCTTTTTTCATCTTCCTTGCGAAACTGACAAACTATAGACATGCAGCAGGAAACTCCTGACAATGATAGAATTAGGAAGATTTTGTTGTTTTTTACTAAATACAACTACTGTAGTCTTGTAACAAAAAGGACAAATGTTAATAAACCAAATGTAAACACTAACCTTGTGAAATAAATCCTACAGATTAACATGTTATAAACTGTTCTGCCCCAGCTACCGACCCCAAAGAACACAGCATACACAAAGTCTATACAAAACTTAAATTTACTAAAATAACTCAGTCTTTTGTTAAACTTTCTTAACAACCTACAAAGATAAAGTAATCACAATCTTACTAAGGTTGGCAGAAACCCCAGAAGCAATTTGCAGACAATAAAGACGCGAAGGAGAATGAACTAAAGTTGTTCCCTACAAATTGCTTCAGTCGGCATTCCTCCTTAAATAGGCTAAGGGAGTGGCCAATTAGCCCCAAGCCTTACTCTCTAGGAGACCTCCTTCTGAGGAGCCACTCCTGCCTTTTGGCAGCTCTGTGTGCCTGTCCATCAAGAAGAGGCTCCTCCTCTTCGTCCTCTTCACTTAAAGGAGCTTCTGAAGGCCCTGGCTGAATCCCTGCCTCTGGCACCACATCTTCTCCAGCCTCCTCATTGTCTGACTCGAGTACCAGCTGCCCAGGCTGCTGGCGCAGCACCACATCAGCCTCCTCGCTGTCAGAATCAGCTACAATCTGCACAGGCCATTGATGGGCCACAACAGTAAACAAAGAAAAAAGTTTTGTATAAAGATCTTATACAAGACGTTAACATTTACCCAGGGCACTTGATTTGAATCTCTGTCCCAAGCCTGAAGCTCTCTATTTCTGCAGAAAGAAGCAAGAGCTCCAGCGTGACTTATTCGCCACTCCCACCAGGAAAACAACCCAGCTGAGGCTCACGCCATCCAGGCTGTCAGCGCACAGTCACAATCACCATCTTGACTTTTTTCTTCTTCTTCCCACGGGTGCCTCTGCCTCCGCCTCCCTATTAATATAATAACTACCAGACATCTAACTATCTCCAAGCTAAGGAGAAAATTTATTGAGGACATATCCAAGAAATATTTGAGGGAGAAAATGTTGGTATAACATTAGTGTATCTAATAATTACTTAGAGACATCTCATCATGCGGTGGAGATAAGATAGACAATATCCTATAGACAAGAAAATTAGTCTTTGCCAGGAAATCTTTGTGCAGTGATTAGAGAGAACTGTCATATATTCTTTACAGCCTGAAACATTCTTTATCTGAAAAACTATGTTGTATTAAGTTAAAACCAGTGTGCCTACCGT